TTCCTTGTCTTTCTCCCCCACACCCCCCTAGGGCATTCAGTGTACATTATATATTTATCTTATATTTTAAAGTGTGCAGGTAAACAACTGCAGCAGGAGCATATGGTTGCATGCTCTCACAGAGCTTGCTGGCAAGGAACAGATCTCCCTAACCAAACTGCAAGAAGCTGTTTTTCCATTACTTCTATTCTTAGAATTTTTAGAAGCCCTACAGGGCACTAAACAGCTTGAATGTTTCTTTCTCCATCCACTTTGGGAGTCTGAACTGGGCTCTGTCACCTGCACTGCCATGGTCTAATGTGGAGGTTTCACAGAACTTCAGGAGGAGCCTTTCTAGATGCAGTCCTTCCAGAACCATCCTGTGGCAAAAGTTTTTGACCCTCAACTCTGCCATTCTGTCCTTCCAGGTCAGCCTCCGATTGAAGTTGGACACTTGGGGAGAACACTCTAGGAAAGCTTAGCAAATTTGTTCCTTCTGTGTCTCCTCAGAAAATAAATATTATGACCCAACTATTGGCTCATCTCATGACCTAGCCTATGAGAAAGTTGATTTTGGAGATCATCCATGGCAGACTCACAAAAAGGTTTTGAGATCTGTTTGTGCTGAAGACAATGAACTCCTGGCTCAACTCACTGCAGGCGTTCCAAAACTGAGTCTGCCTAGGGGGCACTCAGCTACAGGTCCTGGTCCCGTGAGAAAGGTGTTTCACAGGGTCAGGACACTGCTCCCCTCCTGCCCCACTGCATTTTGTGCAACACAATTTAGGTATATTTTAGAGTTCTGATTGTCTTTGACAGTCTTTCATTCTGGTCCTGAATTGCAAGAGCAATTGCAAAGCATCCTGGTTAGAACGAGTTCTTGGGTAGAAGAATTTAGAAAGTTTCTAGAATAACTCTGAGAAAGAAGATTGAGAGTTTTGACTGATGATTGATTTGGTTTGTTACAATAAGGTAGAAGTTGGTCCATATTTTGTGGGGAAAAAAAAAATAAGTCGATTTGTACCTGCAATAGTCTTACATAATTTTCTTAAGCTGTTTATGAATTGTACATCTTACCTATCCAGAAGGAGCCAGTAAGTTGATATATACTGCATGCAGCTGATCTGAGACAAGATAAGTGAGAAAAACAAGAATAATTTGTATGCTCCGTATATTCTATCATTTTATTATCTGTAAAAGATAATTAGTTCATCTTTTTAAATAGCATGGTCTTTGTGAAACAAGATTGCCAAGTCGTTCATGAGATGTGCTGGGACAGAGCATAACAAACTTTAAATCTGAATTTCATTGAGAAGCCAAGCCTGTGATTAGCCCTTAGATCAAGGCCAGGTGGAAATACTTGTTCACTATCTTTGGAGATATTAGACCTGCAAGAACCTTCTAAGCACAGAATGAGAACATTACTGTAATTTTGCAACAGGGGAATGCATTTCCAGTATACAAAAGCTGATGCTTTAAGTACTTGCCACTGCAGGATTTGCCTTTCTAATAGGTTCTGCAGATCACAAACTCTTTTGCTTGTGAACCACGTCAGGCTGGTCAGTATCGTTGCCCTGAGCTACTTTTATGGTTTTTCTATATGCCAAATTAATATAAAGAAAGGCAGAGTATGAATTCACAGTGTGTGAACTGTTCTTTGGAAACTTAAGAGTATTCCCCCTGTCTTATGCAAATGAACTGTGAATTCTTTGGAGTGGAATGGTGGAGGCTACAGGTACAGTGAAAAAGAGTCAAAGGGGAGGCTAGTCATTTTATAGGAGTAAATAAGATGCAAGGGCAGTACTGACATTTGTATGTGAAGGGTTTGTTTAGGTATTAAACCCCAAAATTGCATACATAGTCCTTAATTCTGGTCTTGAATTGCAATAGAAAACTGAAAGGTAAGAAATTTGCTGTTCTATCAGTTGTCTGCAGAGCCCACCAGGCCTGTTCAAAGGTTAGCATCAAACTGAAACAAGGAAACTAACATTTTGTTTGAGCTCTTAGGTTGGGTCTGTCTATAAAAGACTGTTCCATTGTTAACAGAACATGAAAGCCCTTTTCACTACACACAGAGATAGTAGCAAACACAGATGAATGAGGGGTATTGGTACAATAAACAAGTTACTATGAATCAAGAGGCCCAATTTTAAAAATTAAAAGAAAAATCGGTTGTCTTCATTTTTAGGTGTCTAACCGAATGAGGGGTATTGGTACAATAAACAATTTACTGTGCATCAAGAGGCCCAATTTTAACAATTAAAAGAAAAATCGGTTACCTTCATTTTTAAGTGTCTAACTTAAGACTCTGCCTGTACCTGTGTTGCTGGTACCAGAGCAGGACCCTGCGTGGTTTGTATTTGACATAATCATTCTGTCTCCATGATCATGGTAGGTGGTTATAATTCCACTGCGACCCTCCACACAGTCCTAAAGGCAGCCTGAGCTCATGCTGCTGATAAATACCAACAGTCCTTGCAGCAGGTTATGCCAGAGCCTTTCTGCAAAATAATCCTTGAGTAACTTGCCTCTTCAGCGTTAGCCATGGGACACTGCTGTGTGA